CCTAAATGAGTGCTGATCATTAAAGTAGGGAGTCTGCTTTTTCTAGGGATAGCACCACACCATTTCTCAAAATGGTATGGAAATTCCTGTTTTGGGGATTTTGTTGAGGGGCACATTGTCATCTTTCAGGAGAATCAGCCTCATTACTTACAGTCACACAATGTGGTTAATGGTGTCTCTTTTTTCTCTCTTGGGAGCTACTGAATTATCAGCATGTAGGATGTTGTATACTGTGGTACTGTGCCAATTACTGTATAACTGGAGTTAGAGATGGGCCTGCCTAAGTGGAAGAAAAATAAATATACAAAGAGCTGAGATTGACATTGTTCTGGGTGTGTTCAGGTGTTAGTTACTGCATCCTTAAAACAACCCTTGGAGATAGGTGGTTCTTTGCTAAGAATAAGGGCAGATTTGGGAACATATACACGTATCCTGGGCCCTGGCCAAGTCCAGGGGGCTGTGCAAAGTCTGAAGCTAGCTGACAGGTATCTCTCCTGCTGAGGGCCACTTGACCCATTGCTTGCTGTTGCTGGGAGGACCCCTGGGGACACAGCAAAATCTCTGCAGCTTCTTTCTTAACACAGCAACTAAAAGTGTTTACAAACAGCAGTGGTGGTTGCTAGCTTCGGCTGAGGTCACAGACCTCTTTCAGGTGCTGGGACTAAGGTGTTCACCTGGACAGGGGCCAGGCATTTCTGAAGCTGACTTGGCTCCTAAATAAAGAATTCTTCAGGAGTGAGGGAGCCCACCTTCTTCCCTTTTCAGTCCTTCCCTGGTTTCTTGTCCTTCCCAGGTGATCTAACTTCCTCCCAAGCTCTTATTTAAGGATAAATGTACATGTTTAGGTCAACTGGAAAAATGTGAATGTAGAAATGTAGAGATTATGTACTCATTAAATCAGATTACAAAACATGTACAGTCTAAGGTCATTTTCAGCTCTAGAAAACTATACATTAAATGTTGCATTGAGAGTTTCTGGTAATGAAAATGTAAAAATTTTATTTATTATTTTTACATGTCTATTTTTCTAATTTTTCAATCAGATACTGTTTCTTTCGATATTAATAAAAGGCTATTTAAAAATGATTGCATTGATATGGCTTTTTATTATGATAAAATATGTCTAACATAAAATTTACCATTTTTACTGCTTTTAAGTGTATAATTCTGTGGCCTTAAGCACATTCACATTGTTGTGTAACCATCACCACTATTCATCTTCAGAACTGTTTTCATCTTCCCAAACTGAACCGCCCTACCCAGTAAACACTAACTCCCCTTTTCCCTTCTCTGCAGCCCCTGGCAACCACCATTCTACTTTCTGTCTATGATTTTGACTATTTTAGGTACCTCATATAGGTGGAATCATAGAGTATTTGTCTTTTTCTGACCTGCTTATTTCACTTAACATAACATCTTTGAGGTTTATTTATGTTATAGCACATGTCAGAATTTCCTTCCTTTTTATGGTTGAATTATATGCCATTATATGGATATACCATATTTATTTATCCACTCATCTGTCGATGCACACTTGGGTTGCTTCACCTTTTGGCTATTGTGAATAATACTGCTATGCACATGGGTGTAACTAATATGGTGGGTTTTTTTTTAATCCTCACCTGAGGACATTTTTCCATTTATTATCAGATAGAGTGAGAGGGAGGGAGGGAGAGAAATATCGATATGAGAGAGACACATCGATTGGTTGTCTCCCACATGACCCCAACCAGGGCCGGAGATGAACTGCAACCAAAGTACATGCCCTTGACCGGAACTGAACCTACAACTCTTTGATCCACAGGCCTGCACTCTAACAGTTAAGCCAAACTGGCCAGGGATGTCTTTTAATACACAATAAGAGCAGTAAGAACTCACTCAGCTGATGGAAGTGAACAGTGACACAACCCCATGGAAAATAGTTTACCATTCTCTCATAAAGTTGAAAATAAACACCCCCATGACCTAGAAGTTTCTTTCTTGGGTATATTCTCTAGAAATATGCACACCTTTGTGCACCAGGGTACACTAATTTTATGACAACATTGCTCATAATAGCCCCAAACTAGAAACAACCCCCAAAGTCATCTGCAATAAAATGGACAAATAAATTGTGGCACATTTGTTTGATGGAATACAAGAGTTCAGCCACACACAGTATGGGCAAAACTTACAAACTTGATGCTTAGTGAAAAAAGCCAAATTCAAAAGATTTCATATAATTGCTTCTGTTTATATAAAGTTTAAGTTAGGCAAAAATATACTATATTTTTATTATTATTTTTAATCCTCACCCAATGATATTTTTTCCATTGATTTTTAGAGAGAGTGGAAGGGAGGGAGGGAGTAGAAGGGAAGGGGGGGAGAGAGAGACATTGATGTGAAAGAAATGTATATGGATTGGTTACCTCCTGCACTAACTCCAACCAAGCAAGGTACATGAGATTGAACCTGTAACCCAGACATATGCCCTTTGACCTGGAATCGAACCTGAAACCCTTAAGTGCATGGGCTGATGCTCTAACCACTAAGGCACATTGGCCAGGGTAAAAAATATACTATATTTTTAGGGAAGCATGTATAGATAGCAAATATACCAAAAAAAAAAAGGGCAAGAATTGACTATCACAAGATCAATGTGGATGTTATGCATGGGGAAGGGTGTGTGGGGCTGGGGGCTTCCTGAATACCCTTTATCACATTTCTCTTAATAGTTACATCTTACATAATTATGATACAAATTGATGTTGGCACACACATGTATATAGTTCTATGTCATTTTATCACATGTGTAGTTTGGAGTATCCACTAGCTACAACACCACACAGAACTAATTTATCACTACACAGATCTCCCTGTGGTATCCATTGATAGTCACTACCCACATCCCCTTCTACCATCATATCCCCTGGCAATCATAAATCTATTTTCCACCTCTATAACTTCATTATTTTAAAAGTGTCACATAAATGGAATTGTGAAATAAGTGACATTTTGAGATGGGCTTTGTTCAAGCAGTGTAATGCACCTGTGTAATATAATTGGCAATATTGTATTCAAGCAGTGTAATGCCCTTGAGATCTACCCACGTTGTTGTACATATCAATAGTTTGTTCTTTTTTATTGCCTAGTAGTTTTTCCACTTTATGGATGTACCATAGTTTGTTTGACCTTTCACCCATTCAAGGACAGTTTTTTGGTTGAGCATAAGTTTTCACTTCTTTGTCATGATGCCTAGGAGTGCAATTGCTGGCTTGCATGGTAATTGTATGTTTAAATTTATGAGAAACTACCAAAGTGTTTTTCAGAATGGCTGAACCATTTTACATTCCCATTAATAGTGTGTGAGAATCCAGTTTCTCTGCATCCTTGCTGGCATTTGATATTGCCACTATTTTTTTTGTTTGTTTGTTTAATCCTCACCTGAGGACATTTTTCCATTTTTTGTTCAGGTAGAGTGGGAGGGAGAGAGAGGAACAGAGAGAGAGAGAGAGAAACATCGATGTGAAAGGAACACATCGAGTGGCTGCCACCCACACAACCGACCAGGGCCGGGGACAAACTACAACCGAGGTACGCGCCCTTAGCGGGAACCGAACCCGGGTCTCTCAGGACCGCAGGCCAACGCTCTAACCGCTGAGCCAAACCGCCACTATTTTTTAATATGAACTTTTCTGATAGGTGTGCAATGAGAGTCATGGTCTTAATTTGCACTTCCTTAGTGGCTAGTGATAAAGACATCACTGGACAGGGTGATGTTCTTTCTTCTGACTTAGGGAGACATTACTTTAGAATTGCATATATCCTTGATACTCAGCTTTGTGGTTGTTTCATATTTCACAAGACAATAATTAAGAAGAAAGGAAGAGCACTAAGTTTAATATTTTGAGATATTTTTCTTCACCCCTTTTTAAAAAATGGGGCAACCACGAGTAAGGCACGGGAGTAACTTGGCCAGTGGTAGGTAAGGTAGGGCATCAGGTGGGCCCAAGTGGGAAGCCTGTGCTGTTTTCAACTGATCACCGCACCTGTGTAAAACAGGTTTCCTTCCAAAGCAGATTGACATGGAGTTGTTCAAACACGGGAAAAAATTTTATTATGCATATGTACAGCATAGGAGTTTCATGTACTGCAAAGAAGAACATTCATATCAGAATAATTTGAGTAAAAATGAGAAACCCAGCACCCCATTTCCAGGTAACTGGGAAGGACTTTGAAGAAGTGGAAATTTATGCCCTTTAAAAGGCTCTTTAGGGTGTGAGTAGGAGAGGGGAGGGATGAGGCAGAAAATCATTATAAGTACTTTGGTACTATTCTTACTTTGGTTAGAAAAGAAAAGGGCAGGAAAGATAGAGGAAATTTGGCATAGCAGGTAGTATTCATTTTCTAGAGCTGCCATAACTAAGTCCCATGAGCTGGGTGGATGAAGCAATGGAAAGGCATTGACTCACAGTTCTAGAGACTAGAAGTCCAAGATCAAAAAAATTAGGTTCCTATATTTTAGAAAGATGCTGAAGCAAAAAAAAAAAAAAAAAAGTTGTTGGAGTTAATTCATAGTTATCCACAAATTCAGGCATTCGAGGTATGTTTGTTCTTCATCCCAGTTTCCTGGAATTTTAAGAGTGAACTGCAAATGGTCATTTTTCTCTTCTGTAATTTATAACAGTTTTTTCTCTTATCTCCTTCACTCACCAACTGTCTTTGACCTAGATACTTTTCATTGAAATTAAATGGCATTGTTATAAGCACTTTATATGTGTTAACCCTTTTAACTCAAATGACACAACCTAATGAAATGGGAGCTAACATTCCCATTTATAGATGAGGAACCAAGGCATAGAGAAGCTGAGTAACTTACCCCTTGTTTCAGAGCTAATTACCAGCAAGCTGAGCAGTGAATCCATGTGGTCTAGTTCCAGAGCCTGTGTTCTTGTGCACTAAAATAGCACTTAGATACTATTTCTTAGAAAATCAGAAATTCCAAAATGGCGGCAGAGTGAATGGAGCCTGCACGGGCCGTCTCCCAGAACCAAACTGGAATTGCAACTGAAGTGGAGATGGATTGTCAGGAGGGGGCAGCGGAGAAGCAGCTTGCGAGGATCATGTGGCCAGGAACACTGCCTCGATCCTGGTGGGATTACGGGGGCATGAGTGGGGCCTGGGAGCCAAAGGACAGTGGCAGCCTTGGCTGTGAGCACCGCCCTTGGGTTAACCTTCCAGGCGGCTCCACAGCCCAGAGCTGGGACAGACGCTGAAATGGCCATGGCCACTCACCTTGGGCTCCAGCAGAGGGAGGGCGGACTGCACTGGAACTGTGTGGTGATGCTCAGGATTTGGAGGGCACTCGGAGCTTTTGCTGAGTTGCAGGCACGCAGGACAGTGGGCATCTTGCTCCCTTCCAGGGCTCTGGAGAAAGGCGGTGGCCCCTCCCTCAGAAACTCAACCCCACCAAGGTGGGCCATTGAAATGCAAATTGAGGCTTATTAACAACCAGCATCTGCCCCACCCTTGGGAAATTGCCTTTCGCTGAGCACATGAGGGAGTTTTTCATTGAAATGAGAACCCAAAGCTCTTCAAGTAACAGCTACTGATAGCCTCCAGGCAAAAAGCTAGAGGATAACTGAACCATTCCTGGGCTTGCAACTCTAACCAGGAAAGTAAGAACTGACAGTGGTGTTTAACGTGGGTCCTCCCTTGCTCATCCAAACCCAGGAGAGGGAGCCACAAACTGCAGATCACCAACACACACAGGGAAAATTTGGCAGGCTCCAAAGCCCACTGTGATAGCTAGAATGGTAAAGCAAACAAACAAAAGCCAAATAAAAGAATAAGAGACCTCTACCGAAGATGAGATAAATGTGGAGCAGTTAGCTAGCTAATAGAGCTAGAATTCAGAGCCATGATCTTGAGGAAGCTCAACAGCATAAGTAAAGATATAGAAATGTTGAAAATAAACCAACTGGAAATTAAAAACCACCAAGAAGAAAACAATAATGACATATCAGAAATAAAGAACACATTGGAAAGTCTAAACAGCAGAGTAGAGGAAGCTGAGGGCCGGATCAGTGAATTAGAAGACAGGGTAGAAAAAAAATAAACCAATTAGGAAACCAAAAGGAAAAACAATTAAAAAACAGGAAGACAGCTTAGAGAACTGTGGGACAACTGAAAATGTAATAATATTCGCATCATAGGAGTCCGCAAAGAAGAAGAAAACGAGCAAGGGTTAGAGAATATATTTGAAGAAATAGTGACAGAAAACTTCCCTAATTTGGTGAAGGAAGGAGGCATTCAAGTTCAAGTAGCACAAAGAGCCCAAGGTAAGAAGAACCCAAACAGGCCCAAACCAAGACACAGTCATTAAAGTGCCAAAAATTAAAGACAAAGAGAGAATCCTAAAGGCAGCAAGAGAGAAGCAACAGGTTACCTACAAAGGAAACCCCATAATGCTCTCAGCTGACTTCTCAACAGAAACACTATAGGCCAGAAGGGAATGGCATGAAGTAATCAAGGTCATGAAAAACAAGGATCTGAATCCAAGACTATTCTACCCAGCAAGGCTATCATTCAAAATAGAAGGTCAAATAAAAAGCTTCCCTGGCAAAAAAAACTAAGGGAATACATTAGCACCAAACCAGCACTGCAAGAAATGTTAAAAGGACTGCTGTAATTAGTAGAAGAAATAGGAAGAAAAATATAACCACACTAAACAAAAATGGCAATAAATAAGTACATATCAATAATCACCTTAAATGTGAATGGTTAAAATGCTCTGATAAAAAGACATCAAGTGAGTTCGATGGGTAGCGGGAGCGGAGAGCAGACCCGAGAGCCCTGAGCAGCCCCACCGCCGCCGCCGGCCTAGTTACCATCACACCCCGGGGAGGAGCTGCAGCTGCCGCAGCCAGCCCCAGTCACCATCACCGCAACCATGAGCAGCGAGGCAGACCCAGCAGCCGCCCGCCGCCCCCACCCTCAGTGCTGCCGTCACCAAGCCCCGCACCACGGGCAGCCGCGCAGGGAGCGGCGCCCTGGGCGGCCTCACATCGGTGGCGCCTGCCTGCGGGGACAAGAAGGTCATCCCAATGAAGGTTTTGGGAACAGTAAAATGGTTCAATGTAAGAAACAGATATGGTTTCATCAACAGGAATGACACCAAGGAAGATGTATTTGTACACCAGACTGCCATAAAGAAGAATAACCCCGGGAAGTACCTTCGCAGTGTAGGAGATGGAGAGACTGTGGAGTTTGATGTTGTTGAAGGAGAAAAGGCTGCGGAGGCAGCAAATGTTCCTGGCCTTGGTGGAGTTCCAGTGCAAGGCAGTAAATATGCAGCAGACCGTAACCATTATAGACGCTATCCACGTCGCAGGGGTCCTCCACGCAATTACCAGCAGAATTATCAGAACAGTGAGAGTGGGGAAAAGAATGAGGGATCGGAGAGTGCTCCCGAAGGCCAGGCCCAACAGCGCCAGCCCTATCGCAGGCGATGGTTCCCACCTGACTACATGCGGAGACCCTATGGGCGTCGACCACAGTATTCCAACCCTCCTGTGCAGGGAGAAGTGATGGAGGGTGCTGACAACCAGGGTGCAGGAGAACAAGGTAGACCAGTGAGACAGGATATGTATCAGGGCTATAGACCACGATTCCGCAGGGGCTCTCCTTGCCAAAGACAGCCTAGAGAGGACGGCAATGAAGAAGATAAGGAAAATCAAGGAGATGAGACCCAAGGTCAGCAGCCACCTCAACGTTGGTACCGGCCGCAACTTCAATTACCGACGCAGACGCCCAGAAAACCCTAAACCACAAGATGGCAAAGAGACAAAAGCAGCCGATCCACTAGCTGAGAATTCGTCCGCTCCCGAGGCTGAGCAGGACGGGGCTGAGTAAAGCCGGCTTACCATCTCTACCATCATCCGGTTTAGAAGAAATGAAGATGAAATCATCCAACAAGAAGAAATGAAGATGAAATTCCAGCAATAAGAAATGAACAAAATATTGGAGCTGAAGACCTTAAGTGCTTGCTTTTTGCCCGTTGACCAGATAACTAGAACTATCTGCATTATCTATGCACCATGGGTTTTTTTCTATTTTTATCTAAAGATGTCTCGTTTTGGTAATGACAAACGTGTTTTTTAGAAAAAGAAAAAAAAAAAGCCTGGTTTTTCTCAATACACCTTTAAAGGTTTTTAAATTGTTTCATATCTGGTCAAGTTGAGATTTTTAAGAACCTCATTTTTAATTTGTAATAAAAGTTTACAACTTAATTTTTTCAAAAAAGTCAACAAACTGCAAGCACCTGTTAATACAGGTCTTAAATAATTTAAAACACAGAGTAGCTGATTGGATAAGAAAGCATGACTCATCTCTATGTTGTTTATAAGAGACCCACCTCACAACAAAAGACACACATAGGTTGAAAGTGAAGGGATGGAAAAAAATCTTCCAAGCAAATGGAAAGGGAAAAAAAGCTGGGGTAGCAATACTCATATCTGATAAAATAGATTTCAAAATGAAGGCCATAACTAGAGACAAAGAAGGCCACTACATAATTATTGAAAGGATCTATCCAACAGGAAGATATAACCTTGGTAAACATATATGCACCCAATATGGGAGCACCAAAATATATTAAAAATCTTCTGGAGGACTTCAAAGGAGAAATCGACAGCAATACAATTTTAGCAGGAGATTTCAACAACCTGCTGACATCACTGGATAGATGCTCTAGACAAAAAATTAACAAGGAAACAGAGACTCTAAATGAAGCACTAGACCAAATGGGTTTAATAAATATCTACAGAGAATTACACCCCAAAAGTACAGAATTTACATTCTTCTCAAGTGCACATGGGACATTCTCAAAGATAGACCACATGATAGGACACAAACGAAATGTCCACAAGTTCAAGAAGATTGAAATCATATCAAGAATCTTCTCAGATCACAATGGCATGAAACTAGAAATCAATTGCAACAAGAACATGCAAAGACATTTGAACACATGGAGGCTAAATCGCATGTTGTTAAACAATGAATGGGTTACCGAGGAGATCAAGGAAGGGATTAAAAACTTCCTTGAAACCATTGAAAATGAACACACAAAAACACAAAATCTATGGGATGCAGTGAAAGCAGTTCTGAGAGGGAAGATCATAGCACTACAGGCCTACCTCAAAAAACAAGAAAAATTTCTAATAGACTATCTAACCTCACAACTTAAAGAACTAGAGAGCAAACCTAAAGAAAACCCCAGAGCAAGTAGAAGGAATAAACAACATAGAGACAAAAACAAAAACAAAACAAAAACAAAACTATTCAAAGGATCAATGAAACAAAGAGCTGGTTTTTCGAAAAGATAAACAAGATTGATGGACCCTTAGCTAGACTCACCAAGAAACAAAGAGAGAGAACCCAAATACACAAAATCAGAAATGAAAGAGGAGAAGTAACAACTGACACCACAGATATACAAAAGATCGTTAACAGCTACTATGAACAATTATATGGCAACAAATTCAAAATCTAAGCAAAATGGACAGATTTCTAGCTACACATAGTCTCCCAAAACTGGACCAGGAAGAGAGAGAAAACTTGAACAGACCAATAACAACAGAAAAAATTGAAGAGGTAATCAAGACTCTCCCAGCAAACAAAAGCCCAGGCCCAGATGGCTTCATGGGGGAGTTTTACTGAACATTCAGAGAAGAACTAACACCCATTCTCCTCAAACTATTTCAAAAAATTCAAGAAGAAGGAAGACTTCCAAACTTGTTATATGAGGCCAGCATAATTCTAATTCCAAAACCAGAAAGAGACACTACAAAGAAAGAAAACTACAGGCCAATATCCCTGATGAACATAGATGCCAAAATTCTGAACAAAATACTAGCAAATCGAATCCAGCAATACATCATATACATTATTCACCATGACCAAGTGGGATTCATCCCAGGGATACAAGGTTAACACAATATTTGCATATCCATAATTGTGATACACCACATAAACAAAATGAAGGATGAAAACCACATGATCATATCAATAGATGATGAAAAAGCATTCGACAAAATCCAGCATCCATTTCTCATAAAAATGCTCAGCAATGTGGGAATAGAGGGATCATATCTAGACATCATAAAGGCCATATATGAAAGACCTACAGCCAACATCATACTCAGTGGGCCAAAACTAAAAGCATTTTCCTTAAGAACAGGAACAAGACAGGGATGCCCACTTTCACCACTCTTATTTAACATAGTACTGGAAGTCTTAGCCACAGCAATCAGACATGAAGAAAAAAATAAAAGGAATCCAAATGGGAAAGGAGGAAGTGAAACTGTCATTATTTGCAGATGACATAATATTATACATAGAAAACCCTGAAGACTCCATCAAAAATCTAGACTTAATAAAAGTAGAAGGATACAAAATTAACGTCGATAAATTGACGACATTCTTATACACTAATGATGAACTCACAGAAAGAGAAACTGAAAAAACAATCCCATTTACCATTGTGGCAAAAATATTAAGATACCTAGGAATAAACTTAACCAAAGAAGTAAAGGACCTATTTGCAGAAAACTACAGGACATTGAAAAAAGGAATAGAGGAAGATATTAAAAAGTGGAAGCACATACCTTGTTCATGGATTTGAAGAATAAACATCATTAAAATGTCCGTATTACCCAAAGCAATCTATAGATTCAATGAATCCTCATCAAAATACCAATGATATATTTCACAGAACTAGAACAAGTACTTCAAAAGTTCATATGGAACCAAAAAAAACCTCGAATAGCCACAGCAATCTTGAAAAAGAAGGCAAAAGTAGGTGGGATCACAGTACCAGATATCAGGTTATACCACAAAGCTACTCTAATCAAAACACCCTGGTACTGGCACAAGAACAGGCATATAGACCAGTGGAACAGAATAGAGAACCCAGAAATGGACCCAAGACAAGATGCTCAATTAATATTTGACAAAGGAGGCAAGGGCATACAATAGAGTAAAGACAGCCTCTTCAATAAATGGTGTTGGGAAAATTGGACAGCTACATGCAAAAAAAAAATGAAACTAGACCATCAACTTATACCGTACATAAAAATAAACTCAAAATGGATAAAAGACTTCAATGTGACCCGTGAACCCATAAAAATTCTAGAAGAAAATGTAGGTAACAAAATTTCGGACATCATACGCAGCACAATTTTCACTGATACATCACCTAAGGCAACAGAAACAAAGGAAAAAAATGAACACACGGGACTACGTCAAACTAAAAAGCTTCTGCACAGCAAAAGAAACAACCATCAAAATGGAAAGAGAACCCACTGAATGGGAGAGCATAACTGCCAATGATACAGCACACAAGGGGTTAATTTCCAAAATATATAGAGTACTTATAAAACTCAACAAAAGGAAGACAAAGAACCCAATTAAAAAATGGGCAGAGGTGATGAATAGACACCTCTCCAAACAAGACATACAAATGGCTAAGAGACATATGAAGAAATGCTCAACATCACTTATCATCGGAGAGATGCAAATTAAAACAACAATGAGGTATCACCTCACACCTGTCAGAATGGCCCCCATCAACAAATCATCAAATAACAAGTGTTGGCGAGGGTGTGGAGAAAAGGGGACTCTAGTACACTGCTGGTGGGAATGCAGACTGGTGCAGCCACTATGGAAAACAATATGGTGTTACCTCAAGAAATTAAAAATTAAACTTCCATTTGACCCAGTGATCCCACTTCTAGGAACATACCTTAGAAGCCTGAAACACCAATCAGAAAGAATATATGTACCCCCATGTTCATAGCAGCACTATTTACAATAGCTAAGATCTAGAAACAGCCCAAATGTCCATCAGTAGATGAATGGATAAAAAAGCAGTGGTACATATACACAATGGAGTACTATGCAGCCGTAAGAAAGAAAGATCTCTTATTTTTTGAGACGACATGGAGGGACCGGGAAAATATTATCCTAAGCAAAACAAGCAAAGCAGAGAAAGACAAATACCACATGATCTCACTTATTTGTGGAATATAATGAACATAACAGTCTGAGGAATAGGGTAGACCCAGAGACTTGGAAGTAGGGTACAGACTGACAACCCTCAGAAGAGGGGTTACGGGGACGGGAAGAGATAAACCACAGAACTTATATGCATGTACTCATAACCAATGGACATGGACAACAAAGCCGGGGATGGGGTGGGGGTTGGGGAGGAGAGTGTCAATGGGGTAAAAAAGGAGAAACATCTGTAACAAAAATAAAATAAAAAAAATAGAGATCAAAGCAACAATGACAGTTATAATAAGTTTTCCCATAAATGTCAGCAAAGTACTTTTTACAGTTCCTTGGCATATGGTAGGGGTTGTATGAATGTATTTTTCCCAGTTTTAATGAGATATAATTGACAATATTGTATAAGCTTAAGGCATGCAATGTGGTGATTTGATATATGTATACAGTATGAAATGAGCATCACAATGAGGTTAGTTAACATATCCATCACCTCACATAGTTAACAGTTTTTTCTTGTAGTGAGAACACTTAAGATCTATTTCTTAGCAACTTTCAAGTAGACAATACAGAATTGTTAGCTATAATCACCAAGTTGTATGATAGATCTCCAGAACTTACTCATCTTAGAACTGGAAGTTTGTACCCTTTGACCAACATCTCCCCTTTAACCCAACCTTCCAAACCCCTGGCACCATCAATTCACTCTCTGTTTCTATGGATTCAACTTTTTTAGATTCCACATATAATTGAGATCATACAGTATTTGCCTTTCTTGTATGAAAGTTATTTATCCTTAAAAAAAAAACACACCCAACAACTTCAACTTCTTAACATCCCTGTTCTTCCTTTATCTTATTATTTTGCAAGACAAACATATTTGTGAATC